AGTGTAACAAAATTCTATCATCTTTAAGTCATATTGTTTGGTGTTCTTAATCTTTTTATCATTATTATAATATTTTAATGAATTCATTATTTTATATCACCATTTAAGTTACTAAGATACAAACAGATAGGAATGTGTACTGTACTGTGAGCGCTGGCCTGAGCACGAGGCGAACGAATGAGCGTCTCGCGGAGATGCTCGTGCTTCAGACAGTCAGGGGGGGAAACTATCATATACTCACGCTGGGTAACTATGGAGTCAGAATAGTGCCATATGTACTTGTATGTGTACTTTCCAATTTGCTCGCACTGAACACAATTTTCATTCGCAAAAAAAAATATTTTGCAAATACAAGTCAATATTTTTTGTAAATGCGAAACCAAATATCTTCATAAAAATATTTTTTACAAAGATAGAATGGTTTTCAAGTACAAAACCTGTATTGCAAATCTAAGTCCTCTTGCAAATACCAACCTGCGAGTGCAAATTCACACTTGCGCACATAAATAATTTTGGCACTAACTTGCCTAACGCTTTGAAGATAAATATTTGCTCGCATAGCCACCATGCAATCAAATTAATTCATTTTCTAGCCAATCATAAAACCACTGGTGTCCTGCATACCATAACCGTACTACTGGATAATTACTGTATCATGAATTACTTGTTTTATATGTTCATGTAACTTAGAACTTAGAATAAAATACTACAGCACTCCTTTTAATAACATATCTATTCATTATTAGATTAGCTACGTACGTTGTAAGACATTAAAAAACAAAACATATTCACGGTCTTAGTAGACTTGGTATGAAACACTTGTTACGATCCCCAGTCTATGGTTGGGGATCGCCAGAAAGGTAAGGGAGAGGGGGAGACGAGACAACCAGGGAATGGGAAACAAGAGGGATATTTTTTGTATTTTTTTTTATTTTTCACAAAGACTTTCACAAACACCAGGTGTAACCGACTTCGGGAGTGACAAGGCCAAAACAAACAAAACACCGCTAACGAAAACGTCCCGGAACTAATCTAAGTGCAACACAAGGAAAACAAAGTACAACACCAGATTCTGACTCCCTAACCAAACATACAATAAACCACGTCTCGCAAAACAAAAGGGCATACACCTGGTACAAACACACACAGCAAGCATACAAAACACAGGCAAAGGTATAGGTATGTTACAATCCACGGGAATCCCAGCCGCCATTTTCTACGATCGCCACTGCTATGCGATATAGGTGCATCACAGGGTAACCCCAAGGTAAAATGGGCAGTGCGCTGTCTGTGATCGGCTATTTCTGCGAGATTCCTTGTTATGACATACTTAGGATTCCCCTCTTCAGCCTCGAATTCGAATTTTTCAATTTGATCATACGGTCATTTTTGCTTGCGCCGAAAATTTTCATCAAGTTCAACCTGTTCTAAACCAAAATCTATGCTTTAGACAATAAC